CGGTTGCCAAATTACCCAACTCAATTAATGTGCAGGTCGTGTGCAGTGTTCAGTGTCGCAAGGGTTGTTGGCACTCTCAATTGACACTCTACAGTGAAGTATCTGTAAGAGTGTGTCTGTCTGCTCTGACAGATGCTTGCAATTCGGTCCAAAAAAAGTAAATGTGAAGAGACATAGGGAGCAAGTGCAACTGTGTGTACTTTTGCTGCCATCGATAACTTATTACTGTTCTGGAAAGCTTCATTTAATTACTTTTTGAAAATGGGTACCAGAGCGACAATGCGTTTGCCAATCAGGTGTGTGTGTGTACTTTCTNCTAATGTGCAGGTCGTGTGCAGTGTTCAGTGTCGCAAGAGTTTTTGGCACTCTCAATTGACACTCTACAGTGAAGTATCTGTAAGAGTGTGTCTGTCTGCTCTGACAGATGCTTGCAATTCGGTGCAAAAAAAGTAAATGTGAAGAGACATAGAGAGCAAGTGCAACTGTGTGTACTTTTGCTGCCATCGATAGCTTATCACTGTTCTGGAAAGCTTCATTTAATTACTTTTTGAAAATGAGTACCAGAGCGACAATGCGTTTGCCAATCAGGTGTGTGTGTGTGTACTTTCTGGTCTCAGGTTCAAATGCACCAATTTGTTTGCCAATGTGTCTGGGTTGCGCACTTTTTTCAGGGCTAAAAATAATTCCGAGAAATGTGCGACATTCTTTACCCCTTTCAGGGGACTGCTTTTTTAGAATGCAAAATTCAAATCGACCAGATTAAAATGGTAATCACAGAGAATGTGCAGGTGAGCGTACTAGTTTGCATGAAGCAGTGCACAAGACGAACCAAGTGAACTGCCGACTTGGATTCATTTAGTTCAGCTTCAGTGCTTTTTAGCAGTTTTAGAGTGAGGAAAGAAAGGGAAAGCAGTTTGCCCTTAGTTGCTTTCTCAGTGTCGCCAGGAAAAGGAGGCATCACATTAAAGATTGATACTTTCCATATGGCTCTCATGTGCCTGGGTTTTCATCACTTCAACCTCTACATTATTAGGTTCAAGATGAGGTGTTGTTAAAAATTTATTTGTTGAATAATTGGGTTTGCCATTGCTATACTTTTGGTGCCCTTTTATCTGTCGTCACGAGTACTCTCATCAACCATGCAAACAATTTTTCGCAAGTAAGTAAGCTTTACACTGTTTTTTACCTGCCATCATCATCACCTCACTGATTGAATGAAGAAAAAAAAGGTACTAGTGTGTGTCTCTATTTGTACAGAAAGTATTATTTTATGTAGAGTTTACTTAGTTTCAACTATTTTTTTCGCCAGTCTCTTTAGAAAAGGAAATTTATCGACACAGCAATGCAATTTGTTAGCACTTGGCAAGTGAGAATAATCAGAAGAAAATAAGTCCTGTTTAGAAAACAGAAACGAAAGGGGAAAGAGAAAAAATAAATCTCTTTTCTAATTCAGTTAGATGTAGTAGTAAATATAACGAGAAAGAAAATGAGGGTAAATGTGCCAATTTAAAGCCTAGTAGCAAATGAAAGTAACTAGTCCAAGCAATGAAAAAACTAAAAATAGAAGTACGACACTGCAGTGTCGTTGGCCGACCACCATAGAAAACATATTCTAACGTTTGTTTGCTTACCAGCAAACTAGGTCTGCGACATGACGGCAAACAGTGACATATTCAGACAACTAGCCAGAGACTATCAGACTCATTGCCATTGACCGCAAAACACCAAAACGGCCATTTTATGAAACCGCACACACACATCGATCGAGGCCGAGGCTAAAGCGAAAAAAAGGTGCAGTTTCTATGAAGTCACAAACTGCTGGGGATTGAGAAAAACAGGCCATAAAAGAATCTCGATTATGGCCCAAATCAGAAAGGGCTGATGCATGGGAAAACGGCGTCAAATGGAGGCAAGTGTTATCGATTTAGGGCAGTGTGCGCGAGGCGGTAATGCAATCAAATCAAATCAAATCAGACGTCGATTCCATCTTTGCTGTTTTGCTGATAGACGGCTGCTAATCACAGTTCGGCTGCTGCTGCCGCCTCCGCCGTCTGCCTCGATTTGTTGCTCTGTCTGGCAGACTGGCTGGAATGAATGGATGAATAAATGAAGAAATGAGTGAACGTCTGGCCCCGATCGGCAATTTTTCTTTCCTCATTGAGAAGCGGGCCTTGGTGCACCGGCACTCTCACTGGCAAGTATTGGCTCCTTTTTGGTCGTTCAACAATCTAGATGTTTTCTTCATTCTTTTGGTNGAGGCGGTAATGCAATCAAATCAAATCAAATCAGACGTCGATTCCATCTTTGCTGTTTTGCTGATAGACGGCTGCTAATCACAGTTCGGCTGCTGCCGCCTCCGCCGTCTGCCTCGATTTGTTGCTCTGTCTGGCAGACTGGCTGGAATGAATGGATGAATAAATGAAGAAATGAGTGAACGTCTGGCCCCGATCGGCAATTTTTCTTTCCTCATTGAGAAGCGGGCCTTGGTGCACCGGCACTCTCACTGGCAAGTATTGGCTCCTTTTTGGTCGTTCAACAATCTAGATGTTTTCTTCATTCTTTTGGTAGTATATTGGCCGGGTGGCCCACTTGCCAATGCAAATGCACTAATGGATCAACAAAAGTGCACAGTCTGCGCTGGGTACGCTTGTGCCTCTCAACTCTGGTGCAGCGTCTCAACAGACAGTGGCGTTTACTTCAGTGCGCCAATGTTGCAATGCCAAAACTCACACACTTACACAAACAACAGAGTGCTGAATTCAAACTCCAAAAACTCGACAGTTTCAGTCGACAGACAGTCGTTTTGCATAGCCAAGTTAACTTAAACTGTTAGTTAGTTAGTGCAAAGTTGAACAGAGTGGTCCAACAGACAGTGGTGGATGTGGTGTTCAGCAGAAGCAGCAGCAGTGGTAGTAGTTGGTATTCCATTTGGTAAATTAATCAACAGCCATTGAAAAAGTAGCAGTCTTCATTTAAATTAGCTCCGGCATATTAATGCACTCCAATTGAGTTGAAGCAGCAAAAGCAGAAGCTAAAGTAGAGTAGACTAAAATTTAACTTTCAGTGCTGTTTTGGAAGTGTGGCTATCTTGAATAAGACAACTTTGTAGCTAATACAAGGATGCATTCTATAATTATTTTTGCACCTTAGACAAAATCATTGTGTGCAGCAATAGAGACAAGTGAAGAATTNTAGAGTAGACTAAAATTTAACTTTCAGTGCTGTTTTGGAAGTGTGGATATCTTGAATAAGACAACTAGCTAATACAAGGATGCATTCTATAATTATTTTTGCACCTTAGACAAAATCATTGTGTGCAGCAATAGAGACAAGTGAAGAATTCACCTAGACACGTGACGATCATTCGAGATTAGCTGGCTGGCTAGCCGATCAATTCCGAATGACGCCTACACTTTTCAGAAAGGCATTTACAGTTTTTACGTAGTGCTTTACTTTGCAATACCAATGCTTAGTAGAAACAAAGTGTGCACTTTTCTTTTTAGGTTTCTTTAGAAAACAGCTTGTTTGATCATTGGCGCCCGAGCCAGGGGAGCAGTGGCCCAGCAGCTTGCCAAGTGCCTCATAGTGCTTTTTGGAAGGACGAGATGAAATGGGAAATGGGAAATCAAATCTCACTTGACTTTGTCTGTAACGAGCCTTCGAGCCGGTGCCATTCTTGAAATGAAACTCCACTGCCTCTGTTAGTGCTATTGCTCCCAATCATGCGCCATTTGGTGGGTGCTCCAGCACTGATGTGTGCCACACCGATGTGTGTCACCTCTTCCATGCAAATTAAGAGCCGGGAATGTGCTGATCCAAAGTTGATGGTGCGCTTAAGAAGCCCGACATCGTTGGAATGTGCAGAAAACGGCAGAAAGAGCACTTTCATTATGCTGCAAGGCAACAGAAGAGTAGCAGTGCACTCGAAAAAGAGCATCTTCTTAGTTTGGCTCTGGCACTGTGGTCAGCTCTACGGTGTTATCCACGGCGTTCAATAATTGATGCTCAACCTGTCCCTGTTCTCTCTATTACCCTCATCTACACAATGTTATTCTTTAGGAAGAAGAAGGATGAGGAAGAAGAAGGGCACTCAGCAAGTGAGCACTCGGTCTTCCCTGGCTGCACTAGTGACCGGTGCTGGTCACTTTTGGATATTGGCAGTTTTGAGTGGTAGTGATGCCCTTCAGTAGTCGGCAAAACCATCCAAGTGAAGTGGACACTCTCCAGTGTCTGTACACTACTTCTACTGCTGATGCTGTTCAATGATGGCCAGTGGCGGGACAGCAATCGATTTGCAGCAATCAGCTGCCCATATTTACTGCTGCTCGGCACATTTGTGCCGAAAGAGGAAGCAGAAGCACTACTGTCCCCTCTTCCACCAGCCACAGTGCAAGTCACAGTGGACAATCAGCAGAGAGTGTTCGATGCAAATTGATTGGCAGCCAGACTGAGGGCACTAATTAAAAAGTAATCAACCACTGCACGGCTGTCCGCTGTTAATAGATTGCCGATGCTGCTGCCGCCTCTGCCCTTGTTCCAGGACCGATGATGCTGTGAGCGTCGAACTGTGAGCACCGAGCAATCTATCAATTGGCGTGAATTAAAAAGCGATTTCTCTCATTCGCTGCAGACAAACCAGGCGGTCCCAACTACTCTCTCATTGACGGGCGTAATCCTTCGGTTCATGAACGAAAATGGGTAATTCACGGGGTTGCTGGTGGTGGTGGTGGTGGTGCCCGACAAGACTGGACAAAACTGGACTGGACACAATCAACATTTATTGGACAGTTAGCGAAACGTGGTGGTGGTGCTGTTACACAGTCTCCAGAGGAATTAAATAATATGTGTGAGTCTGCGAAGGAAGAATAAAAATCTCTATGGGCAATCTCACTTTACTCTCGGAAGGTGGTGTGTGAAAGGAGGGCTATCCTGAAAGGGTTCACAATAAAAAGAATGAAAAAGACAGAGGTTTCAAAGGATAGAGGGACTTGCGAGATAAATTATTGTGGCGGAATTGTGGCCGGATCAGCGGGACGAGGCACATCGTCCACGTCCATTGATTCACCAGCACGAGGCGGCTGGTCGGCGGCGGATGGTCCATGAGGCGGCGGTGGCGGCGGCTGAGTGCTGCGGCCCTTTCGCTCGGCCTCTGTCAACTGCTTCAGGAACGTGTCCACCTCGTTCTCCTCGTAGATCTTAAAGGGAAAATCCTTGCCGACGATTCCAATTGATACATTCTGCGACGTCAGCTGAGTGTCATTGGGCAGGCACTCTCGCAGAGCCAACAGGCCGTGCTTCACCAGCTCGTCGCGACCACAGGCGAGGAAAGTGTCCAGGTGCTTTTCCAAGTAGGTACGCGCCGACTGGGAACGGGCACCGATGGCCATCGCCTTGCAGTTGAAGTAGTTGGCCGACGGACAGGTCTGGTAGATGTGCGGCCCGTTCTGGTCAAAGCCGGCGACGATCAGGCCGACGCCGTAGGGGCGGCGGTCGTAGCGCTGGGTACTGCCTTGCATCTTATTGCCCATGTCCACCATCAGGCGGTTCATGAGAATGGGCTCGTCGCGGGCGTAGCGCTCGTTGAGGCACTCATTTCGCATGTAGCGCGTCAGAATGCGTCCGTCGGCGGTCAGTCCGGCGATGGCAGCTCCCACATGGTCGTCAATGTGGATCAGCTTCTTCTGGTAGGAGGCCAGCTCGTGGAAGGTGCGCTTCAGTGCGACCAGCACCGCAAAGGAGTCCTTGTTCTTGAGGCCAATGGCGGTGGAGCCCTGCTTGACGGCCTCCATGGCGTACTCCACCTGGTGCAGGCGCCCTTGCGGCGACCAGGTTGTCACGTCGTTGTCGTACTGGTTTCGGAACATGCTGCTGCTGTCGTTGGTGCTGGTGCCACTTGGGACAAAGGAAGTAGCTGGGCGTCAAGGAGAATCAAAACCGGCTGGTAGCGAGAGAAACGTCAACAAGATTTGTCAGATGAAAAAGCTGCTGCTGCTGTCGCCGCCGAGCTGCTGCTGCTTCTGCTGAGCAAGTGTTTTGCCGACTCATGCCGACGAGCACTGTGCAGCCAGCCGCCGACTGCACACTGGTGAAAATAGACAGGCGGCCGGCGTCCACAGAGTCAGTGACGCAGTGCGCCAGTGCCGCGGTGTACCGCCATATAGCACCGCCGATCAGTGTGCCTGCGCAACGAAAAGCCAATTCATACTGGGGCGCAAGGAATTTGGGTATCAATATCTGCTAATGGCGCCCTATTACTGCAAATTCCGCTAATAAATCGTTGTCGACAATTTATTTTGGCACATCATGCCTACACCTCTACTGTCGACATAGTCGCTGCTTTGAAAATAAGCGGGATTTTTTGTGCCCAGATTTTTTGTACCTCAAAAGTGCACACCAAAATAACTGGGTCTAAATTTAATACTCTGCTCAATCAGACAATTATCTTTTTAGGTAAAAAAGATAACAATGCCGTGTCCAGTTGCTCTCAGCTGTATGCCGTCTCTCTTTTTGTTCATTCACCGCTAGCTGGAAGCATCTTTCATCTCAAATTGCAACTTGCACTTGAAGAAAATTTAATTTAAAAGGCATTGTGTTGCGGAGAGTGAATCAGCAAAACACTTTCTCTCGTGATGTTACTAGCAACAACAACAACATTGAAGAAAACAACATAAAACAGAAAAAAGAAAAAATAAGATAAAGAGAACAAGCCTGGCCAGGCTCTGGCAAACATCCGACCAACTACCACCACACACAAAGCATGCCTGANTGTGATGTTACTAGCAACAACAACAACATTGAAGAAAACAACATAAAACAGAAAAAAAATAAGATAAAGAGAACAAGCCTGGCCAGGCTCTGGCAAACATCCGACCAACTACCACCACACACAAAGCATGCCTGACTTTTATGAAGTTAGCCACACACAGCAAAGTGCACGGCCATTACGTAATGCAGTCCCAGTTTCAGTCTCTTTCAGTTTCTGCAGCTGCTGATGTTTATTTGCCCAGTCAACAGATCAGCAGGCAGGAAAAATAGAAAAGTCAGAGGGGAAAGCAATGCGAAGACTTGCAAGATCAGTTGCTGGTGATGGTGGTGGCTACCTGAGTGGCTGATCGATGACAATGGCGGTAAGCAAACATTTCTCGGATGCCTTCTCACTAATTGAATCGTCTGCATTCCGGCAGACTTGTCGGCTAGGGCTACTGCTGCTGCTTCTGCTGCTGTCAGCGCCGCTGTCAAGCCAAGAAGAGGGATGCCTGCTGCAACTGTGCAGTGTGTTCTGCTGATGCTCAGTGGAATTTCAGCGTTCAGTGCGTTCCCTCCTGGTCCATCGAGGTATGCTGCTGTTGTTGTCTGCTATTTGCTCAGTGGGCACCACCACCACCACCACCACTGGCCACTACGGACCAGCAGTCATTCAGTGCTGCTGCTGCTGGCCGGGCCTGGTCCACTGACTTGACTACTGCAATAACTTCAAACAAGAAAAACACTGCAACAACACAGACACAATGTTCAGTACTAGTGCACACAGTCAGTCAGTCTCAATTTGTACCCGACCTCAAAACTGCTGCTGATGCAGCCGCCTACGTCTAATTTGTACTTTTTCTTTTCATTTCTACCGATAAGGCCTGGTGCTGCTGCAGCCCTTAAGTTCAATGTTCACTGCTCGGTTTGGTTAGGTGATCATTAGTCTTTGGAAGACGTTGAAAACACACACACACTGAAAGGAAATTAGGAAACACCAGTCAGGCAAAAACCCCTTCCCCTTTGCTTCATGTGCCCGACATCTTCACTCTTTCACTCTTGCCCCATCGCTTGTCGTGTTTTCTTCTTTTTCCTTCGTTTCACACTCAACACTTTTCACTTGCAAGCATTGAGCCTTGTGTCAGCTTTCCTTTCCTCTCCACTCCTTCTCAAGAACTGCTACGTTAACACTTTTTAAAAATTTGTGTTTCTGTTTGATTAATACATTTTCACTTGACAATACGTTTGCAAACTGTTCAAGACTAACTCTTGGGTGCCTCTTCTTCTTCTTCTTCTAAAGAGGAGACTCGAGAAATAGTGCAAAGTTTAGCTGTTTGCTATTTGAGTTGTTCGTCGCAAGAGTTGTGTGTCAGTGAAGTTGAATTGGGCAAATTGTACCCGAACGACAGACAGGGACGGCAGGGAAGGGAAGGGAAGGGGAGCTCTTCTTGGAGCTCGAGAAAATTGGATTTGCTGATGCTGTCGTTCGCCTTCTGCTCTCCGCTCCGACTGCCTCCGTCTCAGTTGGGTCGAAGGAGCACACATTCGAGTGGCCATCACATCGCCTTGGCCATGTGCAATTCAGTGGCAGAGGCACCAGGAAGGTACCAATTTCCAATTGGCACTCGTGCCACTAATAGGCCCAGTCCATTTAGCAGTGCCAGGCTATTTAGAAGGTGCTCCCCGTTTAGACAGCACCAGCAACAACGCTAAACGTGTTAACTAATTAGGGCTACTACTACTACAAAAGCTATTGTTCTGAGTAGAACAGTGTAACCATTGTGGTTAGCGCAACATCAGCCGGCAGATGTGCACCATTTCCACTTGGCGCACATTTTTCACTACACTACCTCAGACGCCCTCTCATTCACTGAGTGCTAAGGTGCAATGGTTTCAGTGGTGGTGGTGGTTGTGGTTGTGGGGATGTGCTCAACTGCTGCTGCACGGCTGAAAATGTAATTTGAATAAGACACGAGAATGGATAGTGTTAGTGTGCAACTGCCTGCTGCAGCTCTTCTTCATGGATAGACGAGTTTGAAATTCTAATCTCAATTTAATTAGACCTAATCTAATTAGCAATTGTACTGCTAGTGCACTTGTGTCTGCCAGATCGCATTACCACTGCCACAACAGTGTGTGTGTGTGTGTGCCAGCAGCAGTGCACCTGCAGGTGCTTCTCCACTACTACAACTTGATTTACTCTAGCATCTTCTTCCTACTTCTTACTTTTTTCCTTTTTGTATGTTGCTGCATCCCTCCGATGGAATAAATCCCCCTTCTTTCTCCCTCCTCCTCCTTCTTTACGTAAGCCGTTAAAGTGCTTCTCTTGTAATTACTTATGTACGTATTTCTAATTATCCGTAGCAGCAGGTCGACGTTTTCCTTCCAAGATTTCCCGTGTTCTTTTGGTGGGTTTATTTTTCTCGGTCGGTCGGTCGGTCTATCTCCTCAGTTTGTTTGTCGATGTGTGCCACACATGAACCGTCTGTATCAAACTAGAACGGCAAACGAACGTATTTGTCCGACCGTTTATGCCTGCTTTTGGACGGTGTCGTGCTGTGGAATCTGAAGCTGAAGTGCGGCGACAAACATACTCACACAGTCAGTCGTCTCAGGCTGCATCTCAGGCAGGCGGCAAGCAAGCAAGCAGGCAGCTGCAAACGGCTCAATTGGCAGTGTAATTTGAATAATGGCAGCAAAACTCATTTCGGAAATCTCGACTCGATGGCTGGAAGACATTCGCCGCGAGATGAAGAGAGGAAAAGTGAGAGCGAAGACAAACAGGCCTAGCAGAAGGCAAGCAGACCGAAAAGCAGACAGACAGACGGACAGACAGCCTGCTGCTGGCTACACAGCTCAGTTTGGCAGTGGCAATATGTCACTCGAATTGCCACTTCTCAAGGAGGCAAGGCCCAATTGGCGAGAATGAAGAAGAAAAAGAAAGGAAAAATAGGAAAGAGGAGGCTGATGCTGCTGCTCTTTCAGTGCATGCATGCATTCATTCGCTATTTCATTCATTCATTCATTCACATGTGAAAGTCATCGGAGTCAATCGGAGTGGCTGAAATGCCAGGGCTGCAAAGTGGCCGACGCCGCCGCTGCCGCACTCGGTGGCTCAATCACTCGAGCCAATGGCTGCTTTCAATAGATCAGCAGCAGAAGGAGTAGCAGTGAATGTGCCACTTGACTGGAATTAGTTTCATTGGCACTAGCACCACCAGCACCAGAATTACCAGCAGCAGCAGCAGCACCACCAACACATACACACCAACAGAAATGAGCATCACCGTTTTGCTGCTGCTGCTGCTGTAGCCATCACAGCTATCTTTTCGCCTATCTGCTCTACTGCACACTGCCTGTCTGTCTGCCCGGTTCTGCTTGCTGTCTTGCTGCAAACTACTTTCACTTTCACTCGTATTTCTTCTTCCTCTGTCCCACTGGCCTCCTTGTGCTTTGTTTCACACACACAGACATAGACAGTGCGTGTCATTAAATGATAATAAACAGATTCACTCGACGGGCGTCTGGGTGAGTGAGAGTGTGTGAAGAAGGGGGGAGGGAAACACTTTCGGAAAGAGAAAACAGATAGACTTTAGTCAGACTGGGCTGATGCTGCTGCTCTGCTAGCCGCAGTTTGCATCTTCATCTTTATTTTTACCGCCGCCGCATTCTCTTTCTCTCTCTTTCTATTTTGAACAGTGCCAGACTAGCGAGCAATGTGGTCATTTCCGCCATCACAAACTCTACCACTGCTGGTCAGCCACCGCTGCGGCGTCCATTTGGCGTCCACTAAATCCAACCGCGTCGGCGACAACGACGGTCACTCGCCGGGCAACCGCCGGCAAGTCCAATTGGATCACTCAAATGGCCCATTATGCGGCAGTGCCGGTGGTGGTGGCGGTGGTAGTGATGGTCGTACAGTGGTAAGCTGTTTGTTTGTTTGCGTGTTTTAGTGCCAGTGGGCAAGGTAGTGCTTCAGAGTTGGTGCTGACAGCGGTTCACCTCTCTCTCTCTCTCTCTCTCTCTCTCTCTCTCATCTTTGTCCACTAACCCAATGACCATCGGATGAAATCTTTTTCCTCTTTTTCTTCCTCTTCCTTTTTAGCATCTATCTACATAG